ACGTGTTTCAAACTAGGATGTACGCTCGAGCTAGGAAATAGACGCTCGAGTGTAAAAACACAGATCATAGTATATTTGCAGTCTCACCAAAACTTTTGGAACTCAGCATTCTCCGCTCGAGTGGGGGAATGTCCGCTTGAGCGAACAAGCAACTTTGAATGCACTTTTATATGCCAAGGGACGCTGCCCCCTAGACCCCCGGGAGTTGATCGGGCAGCTCGATACCCGTCATAGTCAGCGAAGTGGCAATCTTGAAAGAATTAACATCACAAACTTCTTTGCAAGACAGAATTCAGGTTGGATTCACATCTAAAAACTCATAGCCTCACTGCAATAAAAGTGCGAAAACAAGTACAACTGAAAGGAGTTTTGTCAAACGGGATTGCCAATAATAAAAACCTAACACTTTCTCAATGCCCCATCACTCTCTTGTCAACTATTCCATTAACTACAACCCCCACCATCTCTCTTTCCTACCACTCCTTCATCATAGCCTCTCCTTACTTGTACAAGAACCCAATCTTTTCATTTTTGACGCATCCTACCTATTTCCCACCCCACCACTACGACTACTCATCACTTTCAAATTTGAAAACCACAATTAGGAGTGTGTGTGGTACAGTTTGGACGATTTAAAAGTAAAATTATAAACCAAATGACGAGTTAGAGGATTAGCGGATTGACAAATTGCGATTAGGACGCACTACAAGAAATTACACTTTCCGCGACTAATGTTTTGGTCGCGAAAAGTACCATATTTGGTCGCTAAAATCTTTTCACAACCAAAATGTGTTGGTTGCGAGTTGGTCACTAACGCCTTGTCACGGATAGTTTTCTGCGACCAAAGTTATAGTTGGTCGCTAAAAGGGACCATTGGTGACCAAATAATTGGTAACGGAAAGTCCAATCCATAATAGCCAAAGGTGACTTTTAATGATCAAAGTTATAGTTGGTCGCCAAAAGTCAATGCCTTCACACAAAGAAAAATATTCTTTTGCATTGCTTGGGAGTTGAACCCCTGACCAAGGAGTCACTCTCTATGTGCCCAATCCACTTTGGCAATAACATGCTTGTTGTTCACATTTGGCAAAGAAAATATATAACCCATAAAAATTGGGTTATATATTATTTCATAAAACCTTCAATGCCTAAACAGAAAAATAGAATGTAATTACAATAGTACCCGTTTTTTTTAAAATTTATCGCACCATAACTTTCCACGACCAACTTATTTTTTGGTTGCCGAAAGGTGATCTTTCGCGACCAAAATTGTAGTTGGTCACCAATAGTTAAGTCATTCGCAACTAACTTATTTTTCCAAATTTGTAGTTGGTCGTCAATAGTTAAGTCATTCATGACCAACTTATTTTTTGGTTGCCAAAAAACGACCTTCTACGACCAAATTTCTATTTGGTCGCCAAAAATTAGCTATTAGCTACCAAAAAATTATGGGTCATGAAAACATACCCATCAGCGACCAAAAAAATTTTAGTCGTAGAAAGTGGACTATTTGTGACCAACTCAAAATAGGTGGTCGCCAAAAGTATTTTTTCTTGTAGTAGCGGTTTTTGATGGATTGGTGGATTAAAGATTATTATAACTATTTATCATACATTTGTTAGGGGGAGATTGTTGGACAATCTTCACTGTATTTAAAAGATTTAATTCTATTGTGTACACAACAACAATTAGAATTTAAAGAAATAAAGAAAATGAAAGAATTTGTTTGATTACAAAAATCAAACTCGAAATAAAAATAAATAAATAAAAACAGATTTTATTTTGTTACAAAAATAAAATTTAAATATGATTTTAATAAATAAAACAACATTGAAAATAAATTAAATAACTTACTTGATTTAATTTGTTCGAATTATTTTCTGATCAAGTCCAGTGTTTGACACTGTGTCTTTAAGACAGATTCGTCCTCTCCACGGTGCTTTCAGAATTTGGACGTCTATCTCCCAAGATGAAATGATCTTTTACCACAAACATAGCAACTTAATTCGTTTGCCTTAACGAACACACTAAGTGTTTACACTCTTTCTTTCAGAAATAAAATGCAGCAAGATGAAGATATCTAATTAGCAGAATGAATATGAAATTTCTGAATGCAAAATATCAATATGAGGGTGGTCCTTATTTATAGAGTAAAAGTGGCTCTTGGTTTTAATTGAACAGGTATGATACCTGTTGGTTTTGAATTCAAACAGATTTAATCTTATTGATAATTCAAACAGATAGCAAAAACGGGAAGGGCTCTGTTTGGATGAGCAATAAATCCAAAACAGTTTAATTCTGTTTGAAAACGGGAATGGCCTTGTTTGGATGAACAGTAAATCCAAACCAGTTTAATTTGAATTTTGGATTTTATTTTAATAAAAATTAAATTAAATTCAAATGTTTTTGGCCCAAAAAGATTAGTATTGGGTTGAACAAGCCCAACCACACACCACGCACCCACACCCGCACTCGCACCCAAGCCCAGTCCAACCAGCCCGGACGGATGGACTGCGGCCGCGCGCGCGCGTGTGTGGTGATTTTTGGGTCCAATGGGTCTAGCCCATTTTTCCCATAGCCTCTCCCTCTAAAACACTTGGGTACCCTTTGGGGCACACCCCAAGTATCTTAACCCAAGCCTTATAAACCCTTTCAAAACTTCCCACCAAATCAATGTGGGACAAGCCAATTTACAACCTTAAGGAATTTTCACCAAAACTCCATTTCCATGGAGCACACTTTGGCTTCAATTTCCCATTCACTCGGTAATGGTTTTGAGCAACCAAATATACCACGTGAATCACAACGCGGCATAGAACGTGTTACCACTTTGACCCGAGTAAATCGACACTTGGGGCCCACCTAAAAAATAAACCAAACTTGAGAAAAAATTCTGGTTTTACCTATAATTTTTCTACCATTTCCAACAATCCCCCACATGAATGGAATTTGATGACAACAGAAATGCAACAATATGCAGACTTTAACGAAAGAGTATAAGTCGAAAATATCTTGCATCAGGATAGGTAGTTTTCGGCCTTGAACCTTCCCTAGTGATAACCTATCGGACTTACTGGCTAACCAATGGACGCGATGCCTTGAATTGTTCAGCCGTTTGTGTAAGCCAAGACAATAGATTTCACACAAAAGATCTTCTAACACATCGTGGTTCTCACTGTTGTGCTCATTTTGGCCTTGAACGCGCCTAGTTTTCATAAGTGTTTCTAGAGAATTTAGCCTTTCATTCTCATAGAACCGGCCCTAGTTCAACACTCATATAGGTGATTCTTATTGTGAGTATCTCCTTATACTCGTCTTGATTTTATACCTTAATCAAGATATAAGTAATCATTAAAAGCAAAGATTATCCTTATACCCTTGCATACAACATATGTTGCAGATATCACTCTCATCATAGGAATGGGTAGGGAATTTTTAATCCCTTGGTGATTTCTGGCGAGCCATACATAACTTAGTTGTCCCTTTGAACTTAGTTCTTAGGATCTCCAGTCATATAAGTAGGGTTACCATTATGACGACTTTTATGTAATAGGCTTTAATCCCATCCCCTTTGATGAACTATACACTAACTCTTTTGTCAAACCTTTTGTTAACGGATCCGCAATATTCTCTTTAGATTTTATATAATCTATGGAGATTATTCCGTTTGACAACAATTGCCTTATTTTTTTAATATAATAAGATTAATTTATTAAAATAGTATACTTAAACATTCATTTTTAATTGTTTATTTTTAATTTTATATTTTTTTATATTTTATTAATGATAAATTATTATCTATATTATATTATCTATAAATTTTATTAATAAATTCATTTTTAAACTTACAAAATTAACCTGTCACTACCTCGCCTTACCTCCGACACCAATCCCTATTGCTAATATGATACGGGATGAGGCAAAAATTACAAACCGATCCCAAACTTGCCCCATTGCCATCACTAATAGTCCGTTGAATTGAGTAATTTTGGAAGAAAACGAAATAAATGCATTTCTCTTCGTACATATCACTTGTTTGGATAAGTAAATAGGATATAAATAGAGTGAAATGAAAAAAAATTAAGAAAAACTCATTTATCTCATAACCCATATCTTAAATATTTCTAAAGTAAAGAGATTCAAAAGGGAAATAAATCAACTAAATACTATTTTTTTTATAAGACCAAAACCATCCTCTCAGATATAGAAGAAATAATATACTAACACTTATAAAATGCTAATTTTATAATATAACTTGATATCATTTTTTTTATTTTCTTTTATATAGTTTAACCAAATTAGATATAAGACAAACTAATATTTTTTTTTTCTCTCTATTTATCTAAACAACAGAGAAAAATCACGGTAGTGTTTGGTAGAGTTTTAGAATTATGATTTGATAATAGAGTTGTATTTTGAGTTTGTAAGTTTTTGAATTATGATTTGAAAAGAGAAAATTTGTTTGGTTATGAGTTTTAAATTGAGTTTTGGAGGGAGTTTTGAGTTTTTGAAATTAGAAAAGTTATTTGATTAAAAAACTTACAATTCATAACTAAATACACAATAATTTTAACCTATCTTGTCATTTTGTAAATTTTAGCTCAAAAAGTCAAAAAAACTTTTGCCAAACCATTACATAAAATAATATTTATTAAATCAAGTAGGATGGGTTTAGGTTGATATTAAACAAAATATAAAAAAGGAAGGTAAAATAGATTAAATAAATTTATTTTATTTTTCTCTCAATAAAAAATAAAAAAATTCCTTTGAAACAAAACTAATTAATTGAGACTAAGACCTCATTTGAAAATATGTTATTTTAATAATTTTTTAATTTTTTATAAAAAAAATATAAAAAAATAAAGATAGTGATATAATAATTTATAATGATTTTTTAATTTTTAATTAAAATATATAATTAACCAATAAAAACTTGAATTAATCAAAAATATTAAAAACTCAGGATAAAAAAAATTCTTGTTCAAACCAACGTCGGCATACATACAGGTTCCAAAATTGCTGTCTAATAACGTGACGCACGATCCGGAGAGCCTCGCTTGTGCCCCAAGGCCTCGCTTGTTTGTGCTCCAAGGCAAGCTTTCCTCTCGCTCGCCTCTCTCTCATACATCTCATCTTCCACGAACTCTCTCTCTCCGAGAAACAAACCCAGACACTACATAAAAACCGTAAGATTTACATAACACATACATACAAAGGTAAAGGAGGTAAGCAGAGAGACTCAATCCACTAAATCGACACACAAACAAGTGGATTTCATCAATTCCCAATCAATCGAGCTTTATAATTTATAGATTGATCAGGTACTTTTTCATTTAATCTTTCATTGAGCTTTCTATTTCATCCTTTATTGTTATATTTGAGTCATTGAAATTCTAATCTAAAAATTTTGATTTGATTTTTGGGTTTCTACTTCAAACTTAACAAACCCATTTTGTTTATTGATTTATTTATGCGTATATTATTGGGATCAGATTGATTAGTCGACCTCATGTTGTATTGTATGTATGAATCTCTAGCTCTTGCTTTTGATTCACAGGTTTAAAACAAGGTAATTGAAGCTAGGGTTTCAATTTTTGTGTGTACCCTTGTTGATTCGATTGAGTTCGAGTCGGTGGATATTCATTTGGGTTGTTTTACATCTCAGAATCAGAATATGAGCTCTCAAGTCAGACACGATCGAAATGATAACAATAATAACAATAATCGGTCCAGATTTCCTCCCCAAAGTGGCCGCCGAGAGTGGGTCCCAAGAGGTGCCACTGCCACCGCCACCGTTGTGAGCCGACCATCGAATAATTTCAATTCCAATCTGATTGGAAACGATGGGGACTCGAATTCGAGCTTGGCGGCACGAAACAGTCAGCCTAGAGGGAATATGGGTTCAAGGGGTCAAATGGGTCGGCCTTCCTATCAGAGGAGAGAAAGGGAGAGGAGTAATAAGGAGGAAAGGGGGTTGCTGGGTATGAATTTGGGTAATCAGGAGGAAAAAACGCCAAAAGAGGACATGAGTTTGCCTCAGCTTTTGCAAGAAATTCAAGACAAACTTATGAAGGGGACAGTGGAGTGTATGATTTGTTACGATATGGTGCGGAGGTCTGCACCCATTTGGTCCTGCTCGAGCTGTTACTCAATTTTCCATTTGAATTGTATAAAGAAATGGGCTCGGGCACCTACTTCTGTTGATTTGTCAACTGAGAAGAATCAGGGGTTTAATTGGCGGTGCCCAGGATGTCAGTCCGTGCAGATGACGGTGTTGAAGGAGATTCGGTACCTTTGCTTCTGTGGGAAGAGGCAGGAACCTCCTTCTGATTTATATCTGACACCGCATTCATGTGGAGAGCCGTGTGGGAAGCCACTTGAGAAGGATTTTAGTGGTCCTAGTGGGGGTAAAGAGGATCTTTGTCCTCATTTTTGTGTTCTGCAATGCCATCCTGGCCCATGCCCTCCTTGCAAAGCTTTTGCCCCACCACAGTTGTGCCCCTGTGGGAAAAAAAAGATTACAACACGATGTTTTGATCGGAAATCTTTTCTCACTTGTGGTCAGCAATGCGAGAAACTTCTTGACTGTGGGCGTCATCGCTGTGAGCAGGTTTGCCATGTGGGACAGTGTGATGCTTGTCCAGTTCTGGTCAATGCTCCTTGTTTCTGCAAGAAGAAAATGGAGACTGTTCTTTGTGGAGAGATGGAAGTGAAAGGAGAAGTGAAAGTAGAAGATGGTGTTTTTTCATGTGATTCAATTTGCGGAAAGAAACTCAGATGTGGAAATCATGTTTGCAATGAAATTTGTCATCCGGGTTCTTGTGGGGATTGTGAATTGTTGCCAGGCATGATTAAGACATGCTATTGTGGTAAAACAAGCTTAGAGGATGAACGAAGGAGTTGTTTGGATCCTATACCAACCTGTTCTCAGGTCTGTGGCAAACGTCTCCCTTGTGGGGTACATCATTGCGAAGAGAGGTGCCATGCCGGGAATTGCGCTCGTTGTACAGTTCTTGTTACTCAAAAATGTCGTTGTGGATCAAGTTCTCGAACTGTGGAATGCTACAAAACAACGATGGAAGGGGAGCAATTTACATGTGATAAACCTTGTGGGCAGAAGAAGAACTGTGGGAGGCACCGGTGCAGTGAGAGGTGCTGCCCTCTTTCTAATTCCAACAATTCTCTCACAGGTGACTGGGACCCTCACTTATGCTCAATGCCCTGTGAGAAGAAGCTAAGGTGTGGGCAGCATTCTTGTGAATCTCTCTGTCACAGTGGGCATTGCCCTCCTTGCCTTGAAACAATCTTCACCGATTTGACCTGTGCTTGTGGGAGAACTTCAATTCCTCCTCCACAGCCTTGTGGCACACCTCCTCCATCGTGTCAGTATCCATGCTCAGTTTCTCAGCCTTGTGGTCATTCATCTTCTCATAGCTGCCACTTTGGAGACTGCCCGCCTTGTTCAGTTCCTATAGCAAAGGAGTGCATTGGTGGACATGTGGTTCTCAGGAATTTGCCTTGTGGGTCGAAGGATATCAGATGTAACAAGCTATGTGGCAAGACCAGGCAATGTGGGATGCATGCTTGTGCAAGAATTTGTCATCCTGCTCCATGTGATTCTTCTTGTGGACCTAGTTCTGGTTCAAAGGCTTCCTGTGGGCAGATGTGCGGTGCTCCCAGGAGGGATTGTAGGCATACATGTACTGCTCTTTGTCACCCCTTTTCTCCGTGTCCCGATGTAAGATGTGAGTTCCCTGTCACAATAACATGTTCTTGTGGCCGAATAACTGCGACTGTTCCTTGTGATGCTGGAGGCAGCAGTGGTGGTCTCAACGTCGATACTGTTTTTGAAGCTTCTGTAATCCAAAAGTTGCCAGTGCCACTTCAACCTGTTGAAGCAAATGGGAAGAAGATTCCACTCGGACAGAGGAAGCTTACGTGTGATGATGAATGTGCAAAGATGGACCGTAAACGGGTTCTTGCTGATGCTTTTGGTGTCACAACTCCAAACCTTGATGCACTTCATTTTGGTGAAAATTCTGTTGTTTCTGAAGTTCTTGCTGACCTGCTTAGGCGCGATCCGAAGTGGGTATTGTCTGTGGAAGAGAGGTGCAAGTTCTTGGTCCTTGGTAGGGTCAGAGGAGGAAGCAATGCTCTTCGGGTTCATGTATTTTGTCCAATGTCAAAGGAAAAGAGAGATGTGGTGAGGCTGATAGCTGAGAGGTGGAAACTTGTGGTTAATGCTGCTGGGTGGGAGCCAAAGCGTTTCATTGTGGTTCATGTTACCTCAAAGTCCAAAGCCCCATCCCGTGTCCTTGGTGCCACCAAAGGTTCCATCCTTGGGAATATTATACATCCTCCGGTTTTTGATCCTTTGACAGACATGGATCCCAGGCTTGTTGTTGCTCTCTTTGATTTGCCGAGGGATGCTGATATTAGTGCATTGGTCCTTAGGTTTGGTGGGGAATGTGAATTAGTCTGGTTGAATGACAAGAATGCATTGGCTGTTTTTAGTGATCCAGCGCGTGCAGCAACTGCTATGAGGAGATTAGATCAAGGTTCTGTATATTATGGGGCAGTCGTGGTTCCTCAAAATGGTGGTGTGTCAGTGGCATCAGCTGGTGCTAATAGTTGGGGAGGTTCAGGACTGGCCAAGGATGGAGGAGGTGTATCTGCGTCGCTGAAGGGGAATGCATGGGTGAAGGCTGTTGTGCAGGAACCCAATTGGAGGGAGAGTTCATGGGATGGTGAGGAGTGGTCTGCTGATTCTCCCAATATGGAGGCATCTGTGTGGAAAGGGAAGAAGGATGCTCCGATTGCAACTTCAGCAAACCGGTGGAGTGTTCTAGACTCAGTAACGAATCTGAGCTCGTCATCTACATCTGCTGGAATGGAGGATCCTGGAAATTTGACAGGAACTCAAATGGTTTCAGACTTTGAACCTAAAGCAAGTGGTTCGAATATGGGAAAGCAGAAGGAAAGCAACCATGAGGGGATGTCCGATGTAGTTGATGACTGGGAGCAGGCTTATGACTGAGGGATACGTTTTAGATATTCAAGCATCTGCAAGTGAGAGGAGTGAAATTTAGTTTCTCTCATATTTCTTTTTTTTCTTTTTTTTTTTCTTCTTTTTTTTTTGAGTCTATTGTCATTTTTTTTTTTTTGTTTATTCAACTTTTTTGGGGCAAGGTTGTGATGTTTTGGTTTTTGGTTATGCAACCCATGTGTCATGTAGCATGTGATATTGGCCTTTTTTTATTTTTTATTTGACACCATTAAAAGGTGGAAGGAACTTTTACTTATGCTTCGTGAAAGAATATTCGTTCTGTAAATTTGATTTTCCTTTATATTGAAGAAGTAGCTATGCATATAGTGAAACACTGGTTATGGCTGAATGTAATGAAGGTTTTGGTTTAAGAAACTAGTGTTTTAGGTTTAACTACATAGCTTGTTGCTATTTATCAAAAAAAAAAAAAAAAATAGCTTGTTGCTATGTCATTGCCTCACCAGTCACCTTAGAGGTGAGATTTGTTGACATGTGGTTTGTTTGCTGTGCACAGCCCCACAACCAAAAGCCACTGCAGAGACCACTCCTTATCACCTGCAGGCAGGGCATGCTCACCTCAAAGCCAAGTGCACGCTCCCATCCGCAGAATTACCTGCTCAGCATAGGACCTGGCAACGGGTATGTGGATTGAAATGTGTGCTGCGATCTTTGAAAATGCATACTCTGTAGAGTTGAGGTGGAATTAGAGAATTCTTGATGAAGGCTAGGATTAAGACTTCTTTTTTCTTTTTATCTTCCTTGTGTGAATATGATCATATCTTATGCTTAAAAAATTGTGTGTTTGGGTTTCAGTAGTCTTGTTTGTGTTTTCTTGCACAGATGCTGACAATGTCACATGATTATCTATTTATTCATTCCCTGGTTTATTCAATCAGGGGCCCTTTTAATTATCTCATGAGTGTTCTTTGCATCTGTCACTACTAGCTTAGATATGGCCTATGGGTATTGTCTTTTGAGTATACTTATAGCTTATAGGTATTCAAACATGCCTGTGTTCATTAAGTCCATCATGTTTTCTGACTAAGAGCAATGATTCTAAGGGCTCCTTCCAGGTCAGTATCTTGTAGGTTTGTTGAGAATGATCTTGCTAAGTTTCTTTTGACTACTAAGATTCTTAACTTGAAAGCCTGAGGTCAAATTGAGAATTATATTATTAATTTTGGCAGGTGTCAAGGTTTATATCATTCATGACAAAGCTGATACTTGAGCAAGTTCACAATGTGAAGTGGGTTCCAGCACAGGTAATACTAATTAATAAAGTCTTCCCAATAATATTTGTAAACACGATTAGACTTGATGAATATGAATGTATTCACTTAAAACCGTTACGCAGCTGAAAGCAACCCAGATAGAATTCTAAAGGTGGCAGGTTCTGCAGGAATTGAAAATTCATGTCAGTAATACAGTTGAAAAAGCTGCCTTTTCTTCTTGTTTCTGTATCTTATTTTTTGTGCTTTAGTAATGAGATAAGGTAAAATGGAGCATACATATATACATGTCAATGGTCATGGGAAAAGGCTTCTTCTTCAGGCTTTTTTTTAAAAAAAATTTCCCCCCACCTCCCTGCGTTTTTCCTCATTCTTTTGACAGTTCATCATCCAATCAACACAACAGGGAAGTCATAATTAGCCCCATTCTTGAGTGTAAACAACTTTTCATCTCTGTCTTCATGGATTCTCATGTGGCATCCCTTGGCTTGTGATGAGTCGAAAATATGGTTGGATGGGGAATCAATCTTGTTCTGTTATTTTTTCTTAGAAAATCATTATTTATCTTCAAAAAAGAAAACCATAAAACCAACTTCAGTTTAGCCAAATCAGTTTACCAAACACTTTGAGAACACATAATGCAGCTCAAGTTTAAAGTCTACAATGGACAATTGGACTTGTTTGGTATAGCTTATTCTAACTGCTTATATGTTGCTTTTGGTTTTTTGGTTTGTTTGTTTGTTTTTTTTTTTTTTTTTTCAATTCATTTATTTTTGAGAATATATGCAAGAATGTTTGGTACAATTTGTGTTCATAGCTTATGCTGCAAAAATAGATTAAATAAGCTAAAAGAAACTAATTATTTGCAAGTTGGAGGAAAGATATTTTTAGCTTCGTCTTTTTTATGATCAACTTCAACTTGATAAAAATGCAGCAAACAGTTCTTTTATAAACTGAGGAAAACCCTTGAATGATGATGATTGTTATTATTATTTTGGGGAGTTTGGCTTGTCTCTAATTTGGGCTTGAACAGGACGAAGTAATCTAAGCACCGAGATTGTGACATGGCTGCAGCTTGTGACAAACAAGGAGTATTTGTCCATTTATTCACCCTTCTTTTTTTGCTCCTCTAATTTTTTGTAGCTCCAATGTTGTTGGAACAGGAAAGCAGAGGTTGAGAATCAAAGCAAATGAGGACGATGAGAAAGGGTTTTTGAGTGATGCCGTAACAGGTTACCAGTGGTAATAATGAATGTGTTGGAGTGATGCCGTGTGAAATACAAGGCGGCAAGTAGGTGAATCTGCAAACAGGTTACCAGTGGTAATAATGGAAGTGTTGGAGTGATGTCATGTGAAATACAAGGCGGCGAGTTTCGCTATGAAAGAGGAAATCATGGACTAAATAAAGAAGGAAGAAAAAGAAAAAGAAAAAGAAACCACATTTTGTGTAAAACAACGTGGATGAGGCTGCACTTGTGTCAAGTTAATTAAACAAGTCTTTACTTCGTTAAATACAATGAACTTAGAGAGAGAGAGATTAACCATTCTTCTTGTTGGTGGGTGACATAGCACACGGGAAGCTAACATTCCTAGACACAATAATATATAGATTACATTCAGAGCTAACTAGTTTGTTAATTTGTACAGTTTCTTTGGACCTAGTCTTAGTTTTCTTATCTTTGTAATTTTATCTTTGTGTTCTTGCTTTTATAATTTATATATATTAAATTGGTTTTAATGCTTTGTCATTGTAACCATGGCCGAAAGAGCTGGCCTATAGATAATACATAGCATGACACAACACAACAACGACGTCTTCGATGCCTTAAAAACTTCAAAAAAAAAAAAAACACATAATAGTGATCCATCTCAAGGGAGTGTATTGAAGACAATTCAATTCTCTCACAAGAAAATGGGCGGGACAGAGCTTACCACCAAAAAGACCAAGATCATGTCATAAAACCCAACAAAAAAAATTAGGGTAAATTATGTAACTGATGTCTGTAGTTTATACGATGTGTTAATTTGGTTCCTATTATTTTAATTTGTTTGATATTACTTATTAATTTAACGAATTGTGACATATTGGTTTAATAAAAAATGGTCGTTAGGTGTGATAGACGGAAACTTAAATAATGTGTCAATTTGGTTCCTGTCGAAATTAAGCAAATTAAAACAATAAGGATCAAATTGACACATCATATAAACTACAAGGACTGAATTGACATAACGTTTGAGCGCATGACAACTTTCTGTCTACTAAACCTAATAGGAATTATTTATTAAATCAATATGACACAACTATTTAAACTAAGGGACAAAGTCTAACAAATTAAAATAATATGGATCAAATTAACGCATCGTATAACTTACATAAATAATTTGTATAATTTACCCGAAAATTTACCTTCTTGGTTGGTTCTCCGTCTTGTTTGGTTTGGGGTTTGACTTTTTTCTTAATGACTTGATTCACGTCTAGGCTTAGGACTTAAGTTCGGCATGTTGACCGACTGAGTTGGGCAAAGAATATGAAAAATTAAAGAGAAATAAATTATTATTAAAATAAATAAATAAATAGGTATAGGATGAAATCTCAACTCATTAGCTTGTAAGAGGTGGCTCGTCAACCCGCTTTCGAGCCTATTTGGACTAAACTCATTGGGTAGAGCTTAGGATGCCTAGGCCGATGCCAACCCTTAGTTATTTGGTTTGAATTGTTTCTTTTTGTTCAGGTTTCATTGACAAAAACTTAAAACTCAATTTATTGATTAAAAAATCAATTTTACAAAAAAAAAAAAAAGACTACATTCATTTCAAAAGCGTTTGTAGTTTATGTTTTTTTAAAAATAAACAAAAAATAAACAAAAACCAGTTTATAAAATTTTTGTAAATATAAACTAAAAACGAAAACGTTACCAAACACACCCTTAGTTATTTGGTTTGAATTGTTTCTTTTTGTTCAGTTTTCATTGACAAAAACTTAAAACTCAATTTATTGATTAAAAAATCAATTTTACAAAAAAAAAAAAGACTACATTCATTTAAAAACTCACATTTTAAACACTCCACAAACAAATTAGAATAGCTAAAAATAAGGGCTCATTGTAAACTAAAAATATGCCAAATTAGCAATTATTTTTTTGTATAGGCTTATTTTTTATCATTAAGGCCTCGTTTGGGAACAGGTAAATTTAGTAACTTTTTGATTATTTGGCTAAAATTTGAGTTAAAAAAAATTAGTATGTTTGGGATATTTTTTGACTTTTTACGAAAAGATGTGCAAAAAGTAGAGAGAAAACAGAATTTTTGGTATGGATTGTTAGCTTTTTGGCTAATTTAATAATTTTTTAACTTTTTGACTAAAAATAAAGATTTCCAAATGAGGCCTAAGTAAACTTTTCAGTTAACTCTCAAATGAATAAGATCAATTCTAATATTACTAGTTATTTTTGCAAATTAAAATTAGTTTCACAGTGCTATATAGAACTTTTTCAGTTTATATATTCTTATCTTTAGGTAAGAGTGATGTCATGGAGAATTAAGAGGGCTTATTTGATAATTTTTAAGCAATATTTCACTTATGTTACTTGTCCTCTTACTTGTCTTTAAAATTAACTAAAAATAAATAAATAAATAAATCTCATTGTTATAAATAATAAAAAAAAATTAATTAACACATCACATCAATTTGTCCCCGATTCCGTAATATAAAATTCTACACTCGTCATACTTGAGAATTTAGGGCAGAACCGGACAAATATTAAGCCTGTGAAATGTGGGTTGGTTTTTTTTTTTTTGACTTTTATTTATTTTAGTTTAAAGTCAAAAAATTTATAAATATTTTGATTTTTTTTTACTTTTGTAAGAAAAAAATAAAATAAATATAATTTAAATGTGACATTTTACGTTATTAATTTTTTAATCTATGATTTTTTTCGTTATTAATTTTTTAATCTATTTTAATAAAATAACCTGAAAAAATAAAAAAATAAAAACTAGGTCAAACATAACCTAAAGCATTGATTTATAGTATATTTAACCGGGGTTAGTTGACAACCAACCCTCACCCTACGTTCTGGTCAGTTACACACATTTTCCCGGACAAATAAAGCATTGATTGGCTGACAACCAACCCCCACCCCACGTTCTGGTCAGGTACGCACATTTTCAATGGCAATGACTTTCTTGGTTCTTCTTTTTTAAAAATGTTTTTCAGAAAATATTATTTTTTTATTTTTCATATTTTTTTGTTCTTATTGAATATTTTTAATATTTTAAATAATTTTTTTTTACTTTTTAGACATACTTAATATAAATATACTTAAAAAGTAAAAAAATTATAAAAAAAATCTTTTAAAAATTCACTAAATACCAAAAATATAAAAAAAAATACTAGAATTCGGTATTTTTTTGTATTTTTATATATTTATTAATTTTTTAAAATATTTTTTCACAATTTTTTTACTTTTTAGATACATCTAAATAAGGTACATCTAAAAAAGTAAAAAAATATTTAAAATTTAAAAAATATTCATTAAAAATAAAAAAATACAAAAACCAAAAAATTTAGTTTTCAAAAAACTTAATCCAAAAAACTCAAATCAAACACACTGAATAACATTTTAAATTTAGGGTAAATTATTAATAGATTTTGTTGGATTTAATTTTTATCAAATTTTATTAAAAATAAGTTTTGATAAAATTGTCATTAAATTATTTTTTTTACGATTTATACATATGCCACTAAAAATTTATAATTAGTGATTTTTTTTTGTTAGATTTTTATAAATTATTGCTAAAACTTACAAGTAGCAACGTTTTTATGTAATGAATTTTCAAACTGTCACTAAAAGTTAAAAGTTAGTAACTTTTTTTTATGGCGATTTTTTAATTTATAATTAGTAATTTTTTGTGATAAAATTTTCAAACTGTTGCTGAAAATTGACGATTAGTAACATTTTTAATAGTATTTGATGAAAACGTCATTGATTTTCACAAGACCTATTGGATAATAAGTCCACTTATTATAACTTATACGTAAGTCCCCTTTAATTTATTTACCTTAATCAAACATGAGCAATGTTAGGTATTATGAAAAAAAATATCATAAAAAACTTTATAAAAATTCTCCACTCTTAAATTATACACACAAAAAAATACCACACATTAATCAAATAATGAAGAATCTTCATAAAATATGAAATATTTCATGATATCTAGAATTACTCATAAAAATATTCAATAAAATAACTAATTTTCTTATTTCTACAATTTTTTTTTAGAAACACATAAATCAAATACAATACTATCAAATGTGGGTGGATCATACATTTTTGTATGTCGCGTATTCGTACAAAATAATTGTGTCTAATTCTGTAATCAGATTGAAAAATGATTTTTATACACTGTTCAATAATTTAGGAGTTTATTAAACGGTAAAAACTTGAACATAAAATTTAACGTATTCAGTTCAAGTCACTTTAAAAGGTCATTAGAGATGCAAATTGCTTCGAGCACCTAGTTATAAAATAATAATAAAAAAACGTTACGGGTCATATTCTTTCGTAATCTATTTTGCGAAACTCATTTTTTATGATTGAATTTACGAGATAAATGATTTAAATTATTGTTATAGAAAAAATTATATCCAATTATGTAATTAGGTTAGAAATGGTTGCCCAATGTATCACTATCGTCTATACTTTTTCATATTCTATTTTGTAAAATTTGTAGGCCAATATCATCATTGTTCATATTTCTTCATATTCTAATTTGTAGAATTCATTTTTATTACTAGACTTATAAGATAAATGGTTCATATCCTTTTTGTAGGTCCAAAATAGAGGCAAAAAGTAAAATATGAAAGAATATATCATTCATACTTTTTTATATTCTATTTTCAGAATTTATCATTGAAAAATGATTTGCACCCCTAGTTTTGAAGACCCCAGTGACCCCCAACTGATGTGGCAGCACGCAATTGGTTGAATTTTTTTTTTTTTTCCCTTGGTCCACAGCTTCCCACGTGGAGTGGGGGTGCTAGGGGTCCCCAGCACAGCTCATTCATTATTATTACTATTTATGAAATAAATGATTCAAATTATCGTTGAGTGTATAAAATAGAGCATTTTTTAAGATAGACTAATTTAGGCTTCATTTGGCATTGACATTTTGTGCTAAATTATTCACAAAAAAAAAGAAGATAAAAAGTTAATAAGATAAAATACCACATCCAAATCATAATCATTTCATTTTTCTTTTACAAAAATTAAAAAAACTAAAAAAAATCAACCCATACGAACTTTTTAGCCGAAGTTAAAATAGCCAAAAAATTAAAAAGTCAATTAAAAAAGTCACATGCCAAACAACAACTTAGTCTGATTATTTTTTATTTTTTTATTTATTTTTAACCAGACCAAAAAAGTTATTTTTAGGATAATTTTTGAATTTTTTCTAATATTTAATTTGATGGTTATAAAAGAAAAAATAAAATGATTATAATTTGAATGTGACTTTTTATTTTATTGACTAAATTAACCTATTTTATAAATAATTTAACCAAAATAACTCATGTCAAAGCCTACCAAAAATAAGATACGAAACAATATAAGGGGTGTTTGGGAAGATGGTTGAGTTAAAATAACTCACTAAAAGATAAAATAGACTAAAATAATCAATAAGATAATATATCGCATCTAACCTATAACCGTTTTATTTTTTCTTTGATAACTATCAAATCAGGGGTGTTTTGAGAAGATGATTAAAAGTTATTTTTTGACTTTTTTGTGAGAGAGGGAAATGGGTTAAAAGCTGATAAGTGACTTTTAACACACTTTTCAAAATAGCCCTCAATTACAAAAAAGCTAATAAACTATTTTAGTCAGATTAAAATAGTCAAAAAATTAAATAGTTAACTAAAATAGTCAACTTCTCAAATAAGGCCATAGTAAATTAGGGAAATACTAATATACATACTCTTAAAAATGATATACTTTATACATTTTAATTATGTCATTTTCTTCTTTAATTATGATGTTTATTTATTTTTAATTTTTTTAGTAATGACTTAAAAAATATAAAATTATATTATTTTTTTAATTAGAATGTGCATAAAATATACATCTTTTTAAGAGTGTACATAGTGTACATCACTTTTTTTACACTTTAAAAAAAAAAATCAAAAAATTTAACTTTCAACTTATTTTTCAAAAAAATTCTAATATCTATTTTGGGGACGAAGTTAAAAATATATTTTTTTAAACTTTTAATCTCTTCTCAGTCCCATCTAAATTTTTTTAACTCTTTTTAAAAAAATATATAAAAAAATAAAAAATAATGTAACTCGAAATAAATTAAAAATTAAAAAATAAAATTTAACAACCATTCTAAACTAGTGCAATGTAAAACACCTCAACCACTATAAAAGGACGAACTCATCCCTGGTTCTACAGCACATTACTCCTCGCCACAGACTCCAACACAAACCACGTATAGTACGGAGAGAAAGAGGAGAGAGGGAGAGTAAAAGCATCGTGTGGTTTGTTTGGAGTGGGTGTTTTTGATCGATCGTCACTATGTCTCTTCTTTCCGATCTTTGCAACTTGAATCTATCTGAGTCCACCGAGAAGATCATTGCAGAGTACATATGGTTAGTTTTACTTCTCTCAGATCTCTCTTTCTCTCTATGTTTTTGTTTTTCATGTTTAAGGCACTCTTGATTGCAGATCAGTGTTTGTTTTGCAATTTTCTCTTTATTTTGTTCTTCATGGTTGTGACTTCTATGTCTCATGCATAGGTCATAGAGTCATATACATTCCATTTTGTTTGAAACATTTTCTGTGTTTTTTCCTCTTTTTTTTTTATAGTTTTTTATTATAACAATTTGGATTTTTTTTTCCCCTCTGTCTCTTCATATTTTATTATTATTAATATGTATTTCGTATTTTTGATGTGTATATATGTGTTTGATCATTGCACAGGATCGGTGGATCTGGTATGGACCTCAGAAGCAAAGCCAGGGTAATACTTTTAATGAATTTAATTAATGCACACACATAGGATCTGTTTGGTTGTCTTTATTTATTTATTATTTATTATTTACTTTTAATTTTAATTTTATCATTTATAGAAAAGTTTGGAGAACTGTTTTTAAGAAATATTCTGAAAACAACTCAATTTTTATGAAATACTGAATGGTTGGTGTTTGGCAAGTGGTTTTGGGGCTAAGATAGCCACAAAAACAAAATAGGCTATTTTAGCCACAACAAGCAAAACATCACATCTAACCCATAATCATTACATTCTTCTCTCTCAAAAAAAAAAAAAAAAAAAAAGCAAAAAAAAAAAAAAAACAAAAAAAAAATTTTTTAAAAAAAATTTTTTTACCCCAAAAAAAAAAAAAAAAAAAAAAAATTTTGCTCACAGAAACAAAAACTTATATTCATTTTCTACAAATTTATAATTTTCTCTGAACTACAAACTGAAAGTGAATAACAAATTTATAATTTTCTCTCAACTACAAATAAAAGTCCAGAGAAATTTA